GAGCGCATCGCGGGTAGGCCTGTTCCAACTTCAAGAAGCGCACACCGACTTGTGGCTTGCTCTGAGCTGCAATGAGCTCACGGACGACGTCCATCCGGGGCGTTTTCGCCGGCTTGGAGGTGGGCATGGCCGTGCACTGTTTGTCAGTGGCCGCCTTGAGCTCTTGCAGCATGTTCTCGATGTGGACTTTGAGCTTGCACTGCATGCATTGGGCTCCGCTGCGGTGAGGTTGCCAACTATGCCCTTGGTGTCCCGAGTGCTGGAGCAAGAAGGATATCATGTCCTTCTTCTGTTGCACAAGCGGGACCTTGGGAACTTCAGTTACCTCAGTCTTCTTCTTGAGGAAGTGAGGGGGTTCCCTCAGAAGCATGTCCATCCGCTCAGCTGCAACGATCAAGACATCACCAACATTTTCGTCAATGGCCTTCTGATAGGCGAGGAAGTCCGAAGGGCATTCCTCTTTGGCTCGGACTTGAGCGAGCTTGAGGATGGCTTTCTGAAGCTTCTTGCGAGTCAACATGCCTTCTTCTTGTTGGAGGTTCGCCATGAACAGAAGTGGGCGAACCATCTCAAAATCTTCATACTCCAGGCCAGTGTAGAGGTCCGGAAACAGCTGCATAGCAGTGTGAGGAGTCTAGGCTTTCCAAACTTGCATATTTGAGATCCCAACATGGGTCTTGTCCAAAGTGTGCGCGGCCAGCTGTTTGAGAGCGTAGAAAATGGCTCTCGGACGGGAGGCCTTGCCCGGGCAGAGGCCAGTGATGGAAGCAACGCATTCCTTGGTGGCAATCTCAAAGCAAGTGCAAAGACATATTGTTGGCGCCGGCGATCAGCACAGGTGCTTGCGACATCCAGACAACAGGCATGGCCATGGTCGATGTGGCAGGGTTGAAGTTCACTCCATCTGCCGGCGCCTTCGAAGGTGGCTCTGCCCCCATGGCGTTCTCTGAAGGGAAGCTGAGCGAGACCTCGGTGCCAAAGCTCGGGCTCAATGTTCTGCTGGACGCGATCCTTCCAGTTGTCCAACAAATAGGCTCGAAGAGGTTGAAGTGGACCACAGACTACTTGCCACTTGTACTTGGCATTGTTGAGGGCTGCGAGCGCCAGATTCCAACTGCTCCTGAAGAGGTGTTGTTTGCTGTTGTCAAAGCTGTGGTAGATCTTCCACACAGTATGGGTGTGGTTCATGATGACGGAGTCACCAGGATCAGGATGCTTGGGATTCATGTCTAGACAATGTCAACTGATCCGGTTCGTTGCAGCTTCAATCCTCTGGCTGCGAGCACTCGAAGGTGGCGCCGTCTTTGTGGCGCAATGCCGTTGGCCTGCGCGCCCCAGGTCATCACCGGGTGTATTGCAGTATCGGACCTTGGTGGCCAAGGTCAATCGGTGAGCAACGCCGGCTCGGTTGCGGCCTTTAATCTTTTCCGGATCTGTGTGACCCTTCTTCCCTTTGCACAGGTTGCATCGATGCCGAGGTCACGGAAGACATCGTAGTGTTGGGGATCACCTTCTCCCAGCAAAGCTTTCAAGGCCATCGCGGTTTCTTTCGAACTGGTGATGAAGCCAGTTTTGTCCGCGTTCAGTCGGAGACCAGCTTGAGTGAGGTGCTTGCGCAGGGATCTGTAGGCATTGAGGGCTTCGGTGGCCACATAAATGGGATCTCTTCCTCGCACGTGAAAGGAGACATCATCGACCCAAGTCTGCAAAAGGGCCGCTGGGTGTACTTTGGTCATATCCCGCAAAGGTCAGTAAGCACCAACTTGGAGATGGCTGGTGCTTGAGGGCAACCTTGAAGGATGCCCGCAGCTGCCAAACAACCCGAAGGTACCGCCCGACCAACCCCCACCAAAGCCCGACCAACGCCCGACCAACCCCCGACCAACCCCGACCAACCCCCGACCAACCCCCGACCAACGCCCGACCACCGCCCGACCAGCGCCCGACCGCCGCCCGACCACCCTTGCTGCTTGCACTAAAACAGCTCTCGCAACAAGAACAACCAAACATCCAGATTTAAGGGAAACCGGCCCTCAACACACCTCCTTTCAAACAATTTGTAGAAAAGATTCAGAGGAGCACTGCATTTGTTTTGGGAATTGTAGAAATTCCACCGTTTTGATTGTAGACATTGGAATTTCCCCTATTTTCCTTGAAAATGAACACATTTCAATGGAAACCACCACAAATGAACGTTTTTAGAACGCAACGGTCTTGCTGCCCTTTTTTCCTCCTCAAAAACTTGGCCTTCAAAGTGCAACTCTTGAATCGGCTTGAACGGGCTACCCGCTTCCCTCTCCATTGTTTTGGAGCACCACAACTACACGGAAATACCCGCTTCAATCTGCTGTTTCCTCCTTCACCTTTTGCTGGCTTTTCTGTCTTCGCCTCCGCCGCTGCCGTTCTGGGCGACGGTCCTTCTTCTTTTCTTTCTTTCTTTTCTTTCGGCGGGGTTCCTGCTCAGGCTCTTCAACTTCAGATTCATGCTCTCCTTCTTCTCGCGGGGTTGACCGCCTGCTAAAACCCATGATGGGTGTCTCGCTCTCTGTGGGGGTATGTTGGAGAGGCAAACCTGGAGGCCTTTCAGGTACAGAAGCTTCTTCGACTGGCCCTACAGGGTTTTGCGGTTCAATCCGCTTCAGGCTCGGCAATGGGTTCTTCAACCTTTGCGCCTGCGCCTGCTGCAAGGCCAGGAGCAGAAGATTCAGAGCCTGCAGCTCCAGCTGTTTCTTCACTCTTCGTGCCTTCACCTCCTTCCCGTCACAGGCAGAAGACTCAAGCTTTGGTGTAGCCTAGCTTCAAGATGATCCTCATCGCCAAGGGGCCATAATCCACCTGCTGCTCTTTCAACCAACGCTGGCTCCGCATCTACAACGATTTGAGACCAGTCTCCTCTAAACAATAGCGCTAATATCGGAGCTGGGGCAAAAAGGCCGCATGGTTTGCTGCAAAAGTTACGCAAACCTTCCTCAGTAATCCGGAGCTTGCGCTTGCAAGCTTCGCGGCTGACCCCGCTACACAACAGAAGGGCAGGTAGCTGCAAGGCACCAGGGTCCCATGTCCCTGAATGTTGTCGCATGGGTCCTCTAGCATTGAAATTGAACCAGGTCTTGTGGTGGCCAAATGAAATTCTCATTGCAAGATGCCCATGGCGCTGCAAGACAGAGGGCCATTTCATACTTAGGTGTCAGGGCGTGTACCAGTTTGAGCACGTGGTACCTGTGTTCTTGTGGTTGAGCGAAGTCTGGTGTATGATTCTTCGAATATCTTCGTACAAAATGCCTGGCCGCATTGTTTGAGCCTAGCTGGCGCAAACAAACTTTAAACATTGGAAAAGAAAATGCCGCCCAAACACACTGAGCCAAGCAAAATCACTCCAAACTGCAAAACCATATAGATGTAGAAGGGGCCGTTTCTTTCAAGGAAATCCTCCCATTCGATGCCTACATAGCCACAAGATGACCGAGCATATGGCCCCAACATACCCCCAAGATGGAGAATACATCGTGCCAAGCTCCAAGCCGGTCTTCCGACGGCGCACTACCGGCCCCACGATTCGCTTACGTAGCTTGTAAAAGGGCCAGCAACCTCGGTCCAACATGGCCCCAAGATGGGTCCACATTTTAGCAAAGTTCCAATATGGTAACAAGAACGCGCCAACCTCGCCCATCACATATCTTGGATACAAGTAGGGGTCAACATTGGGTGCTAGATGAACTTCGCACCAACCTCTGCCCCCCTCCCCTTTCCCTTACCCTTTCCCTCACTTGTTATACATACAAACCCACATGCATACCAGCAACGACAAATACAACAACTAAAAACCACTATATACAACAACTACAACACCTCAGCCTTAGCCCTCTACTTCTACTACAACTACATCCCCCACACCAACACTCCTCCTCCTCCTTCCTCCTCCTCCTTC